TGGGGAGGAGACAGATAAGACACACTGTGAAGGTAAAATTGACAAGACTTGGCAGCTCATTTGGGTATGGGAAGTGAGGGAAAAGACAGCTTCAGGAATGGCACTGAGGTTAAAAATTTGGGTAATGAATTCAATATTCCTCAACAGAATTATGGAATTTTGGAGAAGTAGTGATTTTGAGCTTTAGGGGGGAAGATAGTGCATTGTGTATTGAGTTAAGTCAAATTTTAGAATCAGATGTGACTCCTAGGTGGTGCTATCTAGCCAGTAATGAAAAAATAGAGTTCAAGATTCAGATTAAGATTGTGTGTGTGTTCCCCAATTGATAAATGGTCAAAAGATATGAACATGCAGTTTTCAGATGAAGAAATCAAAGCTGTTTATAGGCATATGAAGAAGTACTCTAAATCACTTTTGATTAGAGAAATGCAAATTAAAACAACTCTGAGGTCCTACTTCACACCTATCAGATTGGTTAATGTGGCAGAAAAGGAAAATGATAAATGTTGGCGAGGATGTGGGAAAATTGTGACACTAATGCACCGTTGAAGGAGTTGTGAACTGATCCAACCATTCTAAAGAGTAATTTGGAACTATGCCCAAAGGGCAAGCAAATGTTGCATAGATCCAGCAATACTACTACTAGGTCTATATCCCAAAGAGATCATAAAAAAGGGAAAAGCACTTATGTGTGCAAAAATGTTCATAGCAGCCCTTTTTGTGGTGGCAAAATATTGGAAATTGAGGGGATGTCCATCAATTAGGGAATGGCTGAACAAGCTGTGGTATATGAATGTAGTGGAATACTATATTGTACAGTAAGAAATGATGAATAGGCAGATTTCACAAAGATCTGTAAAGACTGGTATGAACTGATGCAAAATTAACTGAGCAGAACCAGGAAAAGATTGTATATAGTATCAGCAACATTGTATGATGATCAACTATATGAATGACTCAGCTCTTCTCAGCAACACAGTGATACAAGACAAGTACAAAGGACTCATGATGGAAAATGCTATCCACATCCAAATAAAGAACTGATGGACTCTGAATGCAGATTGAAGAATATTTTTTTACTTACTTTATTCTTTCTTATGGTTTTTCCCCTTTTGATCTGTTTATTCTTACACAACTCTGACTAATATGGAAATATTTTTACATGATAGCACATGTATAAATTATATCAAACTGCCTACAATTTTCAGAAGAAGGGATAAGAGGGAGGGGAGAAGAATTTGGATCTCAAAATCTTGTAAAAATGAATGCTGAAAATTTTCTTGTCATACAACTGGGGAAAAATACTATACAAAAAAAGATTGTGTGTGTATATATATGTGTATATACACATATACATATATACATATATATATATATATATATATATATACATATCTTCTATGAAAACATAATTAAACACATGGAATATAATGATGTAACCAAAAGAGAGACTTTTATATAGAGAGGAGAAGATGGCTCAACTCAGAACAATGTCTTGGGGAATTTCTATGATCTAGGGAAAAAAGTGTGAGATGAGGTTAGATGCTTAGAAGTAGAACTGGAAGAAAGCAATGTCATAGAAGCTAAAAGAAGATAGAATTTTCAGGAGGAGAGAGTATGGTCAGCAGTGTAGAAATAAGCAGAGGTCAAGTGGGATGAAGACTGAGAAAAGGTCATCAGATTTATCAATTAGATCATCGGTGACTTTGGAAGAGTAGTTCCAGTTGAACAATGCAATCAGGCTTTGAACCCATGCCCTTCAGATCCAATGCATTTTGACCTGTATGGGGCTGGGACAAGGGGTTGAGAAGTCAGTAGAAGATAAGAAAACTGGGGCAACAAGTGTAGATGATTCATCTAGGAGTTTGACTGTGAAAGAGAGAAGAAATATAGGGTAATGGAGTGATGGAATAGTAGAGTCAAGTAAAGGTTTTTTTAAGGAAGGGAAGAGAAGGTCATATCTGTAGGCAGTGCGGAAAGAGTCAATAGCTAAAGACTGCTTCAAGATGAGAGAGAGGTGGAGACTGAAGGGGCAAATTCCTAGGTCATCCCTTCATCAAGGAGCTAGCAGGGAGGGCATAAATAGAGGGTGTGGCTTTGGCAAGGAAACAGGCCCTCTCTTTTTTGAGACTGATGCAAAGCAGAAGGGTTTTTTTTTTTTTGTAGGCAATTGGGGTTACATGACTTGCCCAGGGTCACACAGCTAGTAAGTGTCAAGTGTTTGGTCTGAGGCCGGATTTGAACTCAGGTCCTCCTGACTTCAGGGCCAGTGCTCTATCCACTGTACCACCTAGCTGCCCCCCAGAAGGGTTTTGAAAGAAGGAGAGTTTTGAAGTATGGAACACTAGAGAAGATGGAGGACATGGCAGATGACCTTGGGTAGGAGCAGTCTTATGCTGACAGGGAGGGGCACAGGGAAAAGTAAAAAGAGTTTAAAGAAAGAAGCACAGATTGGGAAATGCTACAGTGATGAGTGTGATATACAGTTAATTAGGGAATAATAAAAGTACTGTCTGTTCCCTGTTCTTGGAGTCCTTTCCCTCATCACCTCTGTTGCCTCTGTTTCCCCGATTTCCTTCAAAACTCATTTTAAATGATAGCTTCTGTAAGAAGCTGGTCCTGCCTGTTGCTAGACTGTGACCTCCTTGAAGACAAGAATTATTTTTGCTTTTCTTTGCATTCCTATCACTTAGCACAGTGCCAGGCACAAAGAAAAGGCTTCATAAATGCTTGCTTGACTGTCTGATTGATCTTGGAATGTTTAGTCCAGAGAATAGAAATTTAGAAGGGTATGGCCACTGACTTTAAGTATTCAAAGTGTTGTCACTTGGTCCAGAGATGAGACTGACCAGAGGGCTGAACAAGGAGAGATGGGCATAAACTGCAAAGAAACAATGTAGGCTTGATTTAGGGAAAGTCTCCTCAAGGCTTTCAAAAACCTGAGAAGTTGCCTCAGGAGGCAGCCTCACCTTCCTCTTCACTGAAGGTCTTCATGCCATGACTGAATAAATGACTGTTTGTCAGGTAGGTTGCAGTATGATTTTTGTAAAGGTGCCGTTTGGACTAAGTGGTCACCGAGGTCTCCCATTACCCTTAGGCTCTGTGATTCATTCTCTGCTGGATTGAAAGTCTTCTCTGAACATTCAGATTTAACCTTCTTTCCTTTTCCTGCTCTATTTAGAAGGCGTACTCTCAATTCACTATTATGGAATAAAAAACTCTAAGTGAGCCAATTTTAATAAATAAAAGCCAATTTAAACAGAAGAATTTAAATAACCTAGGTATGGTTTTTCTTCATCTAGAGAAACAATGAACTCTTTTGTGAATAAAGAGATCCTTTAATTGTTTCCTCCATGTTATGGTGCCAAAATAATATTAGTAACTGGCATTTATGGAGTGTTTAAAAATTTTTAGAACACTTTGCATGCCTTATTACTTTTACGAACATTATTTGATCTTCACAACACTCTAAAGGAGACATTTTAAAATTTTTTTATTTTTATTTTTAGGCAATTGGGGTTAAGTGACTTGCCCAGGGTCACACAGCTGGGAAGTGTAAAGTGTTTGGTCTGAGGCTGGATTTGAACTCAGGTCTTCCTGACCTCAGGGCTGGTACTCTATCCACTGCACTGCCTAGCTGCCCCTAGGAGACATTTTTAGTAGCCATATTTTACAGATGAAGAAACTGAGTCTCAGAGAAGTTGAATGACTTGTTTGTAGAAAGTGTCTGAGGGGGGAATTTGAATATAAAATAACAGATATGAAGAATGACTTGGGTGGCTAATTTTTTGGAAGCATTTCTCATTTTTTTCCCAGTTGTGCTACTTGTACAAAGTACAAGACCATCCACATCATCTTGCTACTACTAAAAAAAATATTCTACCCAGAAGTACTGGGAAAATAACTTTATGATGAAAAATGAGAAGAGATATTATATGTAGATTACTAATTCATACTAGAAACTGAAATCTAGATATCACTATCTTATTAATCAATTAGCAAGTATTCATTAAAGCACTTTCTATGTTCCAGGCACTTTGCTAGGCATTTGGGGCTGTAAAGACATGCATGAAACAGTCCATGTACTCAAGGAATTTATGCTGTAATGGAGAAAACTTATCTTTTAAATTTTTTTTTTTAGGATAGGCAATGGAGTTAAGTGACTTGCCCAAGGTCACACAGCTAGTAAGTGTTATGTGTCTGAGGCTGGATTTGAACTCAGGTCCTCCTGAATCCAGGGCCAGTACTGTATCCACTGTGCCATTGGAGAAAACTTTAACAATGAATCTGTGCCCACTTTAAATTAGATTTTGTTCTTTTGCTTATTTCAAACCTATACCAGCCCGTGACTTTCTTGACAAGTTCTCCATCTTTCTTTCACTTTCTGTCTAATTTTCTCCCTCTGTTTTTCTCTCACTCTATTTCTGTCTTTTTGTCTTTGTTTCTCTTTGTGTCTGACCTTGTCTCTCTGTCTCTCTCTTTCTCTTGAAAGTAAAAACAAATAAAAGTGACTCAGTTCAGTCATATTCAGACATATTCAAATAAAAAATGAGGTAATCTCTGAAGGGAAGGCAACAGCAGCTGGGGAGAATTGGAAAGGCCTTTTGTGGAAGGTGACTTGAACTGAGTATTGAAGGAAAACAGAGATTCTTGGAGGCTCTCTGGTACATAAACAACAGTGTTATTTGAAACCAGGCCATGGGCCATCTGGAAGATGATTGAAGACTGCACTTTAAGAACTACTATGTAATAGCTGACATTTATATATTGCTTTAAGGTTTTTAAAGCACTTTACATACGTTATTCCATTTCAACCTTTTCCCCACTTCATTGCATGTGTAGAGGCCTAACTTCAGTTTTCTATAGGCTGTCAGTTAAGTGTTGAGTATATTAATTTTAAAAAATACCATTTCATTACAGGAACTTCTTTCAATAAAGAAAAAACCATTTTGAGATATACCTTTCTTTTTTTTTTTAAATGACAAATCTAAAAAGGAAAACTTGTAAGCACAATGGAAGTGTGAAGAGAGCTGAGTAATCCTTGGCTAGGTATCCAACAATTCCTTTTCCCCTAAAATGAATCTAATTAATGGGGCTTTTCAAGTGGCCAACGCCCAGGCAATTAATGCGCACCCTTTTCCTTAGTATAATGTGGTATTCCAATCAGGAAAACTGAATTCTTCAGTCCGTTAACTTCTTGCTCTGTCTTGCCCACTACCAGCAGAAAAAAATTCCCTCCTCCTGACCAGAATTCATATCTGTGGCTAGAAACTCTAGAGTAACAAAAGCAACATTAGACCTGAAAAGCATTTTGGCTCCAAAGGCTTCAGTGATATTCTACTTCTCCTGCAGGCTGGAATTGGGGCTTGAAGGCAGCAGTGGGGTAGGGTCTGGGCTGAGAGCCAGTGACCTCCCTTCTTTGCACTGAATTGTGTTTGGGCTTTTCCACTTTGCTAAGTTCTAATGCTTCATCATTCACAATAGGCCTCCAATAGAATAATGATCACCACCTTGTGTTTTGTGAAGTCATGCTCTGGGTAAGTATTATTCACAAGTGTATCCCTGCATATTATTTAGCAGTTAATTATTGGTCTTCATGCATAAAATGAATGTGACATTTGAGACAGATGTTTATTGTTGACTACATATATATTCCTCCCCCCACCCCCATTCTCAAGCTTTAGCTACTGAAATGAGCTCCAATTATCATCACAAAGGACTGCATTTGTACATTTGGGAGGTCACATTCGGAACACTGACACACAGGGATGGTGCGCTGGTGTGGTTCTGAGCGCACAAACAATAATTTCCTTTTTTAATACACAGTATGGAAAGAGGTAGCGCAAACAATTGAGTTAAATGGGAAAGAGAATGGATGATGTCCACTAGGGGCCGCTGTTGAACTTCTAAACAAATTGATGTTTAGGAGGAAAGAAAGAAGGGTGGGGGCAGGGAAAGGGGAAAGAAATAGAAGAGGGGGAAAAGCCTGGAAGAAAATCTGACATTTCTGTCTGACTTTGAGCATCCTTTGCTGATGCCACCCTTGGAATGTTTTGGAAGTGTCAGTAATAAATACTTCTATTAGAAATCTTCATATTCTATATATCTGTATAGCGTACCCCAAGGAGAATCATACAAGACAGACGTAGCTGTCTTAATTCTGGCTGAAAACTAGGGAGGTTGTCAGACTTCTTTTCCCATGTGTGATATTTATCTTGCCTCACAAACAAACGAATCCTGGGTTTTAATTAATTTCCAAGTGCCTCCCGTGATAATTTTTTTTGCCCTAATATATTAATATGATGATTCAAACTTTTGTTCAGCGGCAGACTTTTTGTTAGAAATCACTAAAGGCTTGGAGGGTGTTTAGTGTTATCATTAAGCGACAATGCTCCTCGGTTTGCTGTGAATCAATAATGGTGCTCTTTCCTTATGTTTATTTTTAGAGACATCAATGTGATTTTAGATGCTTAAAGTGTATTAAGGAGATCCTGGGTAAACTGATTCACTTTCCTTTGATTGGAGGAAGCTCTGGAGTACTTTGTCCTTATTGCCTTGAGAAGACTCACTTGGAAAAGTTCTTGATTCCATGCTGAAGGAGTGCATTTTCTCTTTAAAAATCCCCCTTCGGAAGGACTTGATTTTTCATAAAGGAGGCAGAAATAGCCTGTTGGAAAGCTGTGTGCCACTGAAATTGATAAGCAATGGGGCATCAAGTGAGTTCATTTCTTCTTTCACTAGCCAATAGCCCTCTCAATAGTTAATGACAAATGAAAAACCCACAAGATGATAAGAAAAATTTGAAGTAGAGGAATGGTCGGAAGTATAATGCATGTTTTATTTGAATTAATAAACAATATTCTCTGGAAGCAAATGTGCTATGGTGGTTTGTTTGTTTGTTTATTTGTTTTTAATAGAAATTAGGTCTTGGATAATGTTGCTACCATGGCCATAGGTTTACCTCATTGCTTTATGATGTTTATCTCTATGCTAATCTATTGTTGTGACCAGAAGGTTGTGTGAAAATTAATACACATTTCTAAATTCCCCTTTTAGCTCTTTGATTACTAGGGTGATCAGAGAGTTGTAGAAGTAATAGTTATCTTTCTGTGAAAAAGATTGCCAAACAGCATATGGAAATGGCACCAAAAAAAGTTAATTTACAGTTTCATTTAAAAGGCTATTAGTAATTATTAGCAGCAGAGATTTTTTTAAATTCCGAAAAAATACAGAAAACTATTGCTTCTTACATGTCTGGAGACTACATTCAGATCAATGTGACCCCCCCCCCTTTTACAGTCTCATTGCCCCTTTCACTAAAACAGCATTTTTCCTATTTCCATCAGGGAATTTTAGAAAAATATAGACTCTTGTGAGCAGTTCTTAAAGTTCATTTTTTTCCAGTGCTAATGATGTGTATTTTTTTTTATCCTGCATGGTATTTGTAAGTATAACAGAACCAACCTTTTAAACACAGATTGCATCTGACAGGCTTTGTTTTATGTGATTTCCAAGAACTATTGTAGAAATGCTTCTTAATTGTAATAGTTTTCCTCTTTGGTATTTCTTTCATTGTCCTTTCCTTCTTGACATCTCATACATTAAATCAAAGGCTGTTTTGGAGACATGAAATGACAGCTTTTTCAGAGCATGATTCTGGATACTGATAGATTCGCACCTCTCAAAGCAGACAGGTTGCTATTGCCAGCCTCTGAAGAACCTTATTGTACGATGGTGCGTCCATCATCTGGAAACACAACCGTAAACGGCAGGTTAATCACTGAGGAAAGACCTATGTCTTTCTCCACTACCCTGCTTCCTATGCAAGAGATATAAAGCCAAGTAATATCTTTTTCTGTTGTTTACCTTAATAAAACCTAGGGTCTACTTTAGTTTGAGATGTTATTTTCTTTTGGCCAGAGTGGGTAGGGGATAGACTACTCACATAATTTAGTCCTGTGTTGTAAAGAAAAATTGAAGCATCCTCTTGGAATATTTCCCCCTCTCATTCTACCCTCTCATGATGAGAGAACACATAAAGTGAATGAGATGTGACATCGGCATGCACAGAGAACCCATTTGTTACGTGGAAATTCAGAGGAAAATGTTATTTGACTCCAGTGATGTTTTGGAGTTAGAAACCAGAGTCATATATATTTTAAAAAATTTGTGTTTATATCTGACTATGGAAATAAAAGTGAGGAGTGATGCAAAGATATAGCACCAAACAGAACAGTGCAGCAGCCCAGACCCTGACAATAGGGAAGCCGACAGGCTGGGTATTCTAGGTATTCTGGGTATTCTGTGCTTTTCAGTTCTACCTACTCTTTGTAACTTTACAATGTAAGATTCAGAAATTGGAGCCAATTACCATAATATGTGGTGGTTTGGTAGGAGCATGCTCTACAGCAGACAGTTAAAAGGTTTTATTGCTATTAGGAGCGTGTTAATGTCCTTGATAATGTCTCTACTTGCTTTGTAATGTCTCTTGTTGAAGTATAGAATTCTTTTATCTTCTTATTACATTATGCAAAAACTTGAATTGAAAAGATATTTGCAGGAACATTTAAAGTAGTGCATCAATCAGTTTCAAAGAAGAGAAAATGTTCTCAGAATAGCTTATAAAAGGATGAGTGTCAGTTTTACTTTGGATGAACAAAGGAAACAACGTAGAAAGCACTTTATTGTAAAAGCATACTGTGCCATTCGATAAATATGCCACATAAATATAAAGGAGAAGAAAGTTCATAATTATCTGATGACTTAAATGTAATTTAAGTAATACTTTTAAAATGCATCCACCACTGAAGTACTTCTTTTCTCCTTTCCACTATGTTCTTGGTCCTAGCCTATAAGCCTCTATTAGGTTATAACTTAACTCTCTCTCTGATAACTTAAGGATTTGAATGGATAAAAATCCAGGCCTATTTTAATATGTCTTTGGCAGATGCAGAGAAGAGTATATGCAGAAATTCATAGCAAAAGTTTTAACGATGACTTAATTATGCTTAGAAATGAAATCTACCCTCCCCCCCCATCAGTTCTTATCTTTACTGTATTCATTTGTCCTTTGTTCTGTCATTCTTTACCATCCTTGGGGATGCAGTATTTTTGAACTCAAATATAAATGCATTGTGACCAGAATTAACATTTGGAAGTGCTTTATGTTTGTTCAGGAAATCCATTCCCAGAGTTGTTCCTGGGCTTTCTAAATCAGGGAATGGTTTTTTTTTTTTTACTTTTCATCAAATACATTGCATGCCTTTTCTTATAACTAAAGACATTTTTCTTGCTTTAGAAATTTGGGCTTACCTCTTAAATGTTACATGTATGATTTTTATTATTAAAAATTGTTTTCTAGGAAATAAACCTTAACCTATAAAAATCATCTGGTATTGTCACAGGAAATGAATTATGGATTTTAAATGATCATTTGGTTTCAGGGTATACAATGAGTGGCAGTAATCTTACTGAAAATGAAGTTAAGGTATGTGGACATTATCTTCTCATTTCTTGAAATCTCTATGATATATACTTTTGTACAAATAACACAAAAAATAGACACATGTTCAGCTTGCTGAGAACAGTATACATAGGAAATATTTAAGAATTTTTTGCTGATAATTGACAAAAACCTAAAGAGCAAAATATTTCAATATATGACAATTTTTAGTTTCTGTTTTGTACCTAGGTTATTTAAAAAAAGCATATACCATTTTAACTGAAATAGATGAAAATTATTTTTCTTCCTATAGAGACAGGCCTTTCTGAGATTCAGTAAACTTTCATCCCAGCTCGATTTTTCCTGCAGTGGTATTATCATTCATTGCTTCATTTGGTGAAATTATATTTGTGATAACATTTTTCAAAGAAAATAATTTTCACTTAATCTAAAACTATGAGTCTGGCACATTTTATATTAAGAATCAATAAATAACTTTATGGGCAACATTATTTGCTGACCTCTTCTTTTCCTAGAACTTTTGTTATCCGTGAGGCCTAATTCATTAAAATAATTTCCTGCTCATTTCAGTGGATTTTCCTATGAAATCTTTGTAGAAACAACACAGACCCAGCTTCTCCCCTATGATGCACTACATTTTCTCATCATCTCATTCTCTTGGCCTGTTTGAGAACATGCTCATTTGTAAAATACAAGGAAAATTACCCTGTAAAACACTTATTTAGCAGTAACAAAACTTCTCAGATTTCCAAAAAAGAAAGAGGATTTTTAAGTTATTGAACCTCCGGGAAAGCAGTAATTTACTACCAGCAAGTTAGTATGTTGTACACATCTGTGTACTGTGCTTCAGAAAATAAAGGTTGTTACCATAGCAACTGCCACATAATATGGAACATACGTTACTTGTGAGATTCTAAGCTTCGTGTTAAAAAAAAATCCTCCTTTCATGGCTGCTCGCTGATGTTTCAAGAACTGCTATCTTCCTTTCATCTTTTTACTGGGTTCTATGTTATAACTAGTATCCTATGCTTTAATTTCCTTTCCTTCCCCCTTCGTTTCTTTTTGCTTAGAATACTTCTCTCAACATTTTGTTTGCTATATTGATAACTTCTTCTTGCGACTGTCCTGATCTGGTGGCCATGTCTGACTTATATGCTTGTCCTCTCTTAATTTATTAATCTTTAAAGAATTTTTTTAGGCAGTTTCCAGATGCAGCAACATGTGTTTTGGAAAACAAACAAACAAATGAACAAGGAAAATGCAGCAACTCAGAACTCGAAAGTGAAACAAAATTGGTGGCAGAATTGCCTGAATCTATTAGAATAGTAGGTCCCTTTCAAGACTGTGTCCCCATCAATGTGATGTTTGCTTTGCTTAATCACTTGTCTTATGCAACGCCCTTTTGTTAGGATTAGGCCCCTCTGAAGGAAGTCAGCACCCCCTGTTTTCTCTGGATAACAGACTTCACTTTCGTCTTTAGACATCTTTTTGTCTTTTATGATCATGGAAATTTTAAATCACTTTAATTGATTTTAAAAGGAAGATTTTTAGTTTTTCTTGGCAAGCAATGCTACACCTGCAATAATTGAAGTAACTTTTTGATCCATTTCTTGATGGTATACTAAACCTTAATATCAACAAAGAAAGTTGAATAGTTTTGAAAAAACAATTTTGTAAGGTGCTTTTCCATTTGAGGGGTAGAGTATCAACAGGGAAATGAAGAAAGTTGAATTAATTATGCAAAATATGGAGAACTTGTCAAAGTTGCTTGAGCTGTCCTCCACCCCACCCCATCCCTCCTTGTCTTGATCTCTTAGAATTTTGAGCTTTCTTTAGGGTTCAGTTCAAAAGCCACCTTCTGCATGATATTTCCTTATCCTACCAGCTATAGTGTCTAAATTCTTGTATATACTTATATGTGTATATGATGTTTCCCCCAATGGAATGTAAACTCCTTGAGAGCAGGGACTCTTTTATGGTTGTTGTGTTTGTAACCCTAACACAGTGTCCAGGACATAGTAGGTATTTAATAAATACTTGATTGACAAGGGATGAGTATATTCAAATGGTTTGTGAAAACCCTAGGACCTCCAGGGATCAACTCATTTGTATAGATTTATGAATAGGTCTGTTGGGCTCCACTGACTTTCCTGAAAGATATGACCTCAGTAAATTGATGAATGCTAAGTATCTCATGGCATATTTGTCTGGTTAAGAGGTTGCCTTTGGAAGCCTGGTCTGAATTTCCTTATTTACCCTTTCTGCTGGGTAGTGTCCTCTTCACTGATAGTTTTCTTGAGTGGACACTTTCTCTAGAGATTCCATATCATCACATATTCTATACAAGTGCCGAATTCTGAAAGAAAAACATGGCATGAGAAATGGAAGGATATATAATATCCATTCTGTTC